ACTGTGAAAGCTTGCTATATAACAAGTTTATGATTGGGAATAAAATTGCATCCAGAGGCTTTTACCATCTTGTAGGTTTACTCATGCAACAAATAGAATAAACAGCAAAAGAAACAGAGATAGAAGTACAGTATTAAAATAGGGTTATCTATCTACTGGTAGTGGAACCAAAAAACTGATTCAGTTAAGTTGGAGGAGGCAAGTTTTTTATCATTAATAAAATTGTTCCAGAAAAAGGAGGAAAATCTCATCTATGATGTAACTTCTCTCTGTCCAGCCCTTGTTCTTGGCTTTGGAGAGAGGAAATAGCTATATGGATTTTTGAAAAATCCATTCCGCACCTACCCTAACCAAACTGTTCTGTTGCTTTCCCTACTTTATAATCTGATACTTTTTCCTTCTGTTTTTTAAAGTGCTGATTCCTTAGTTGATTCCAGAGAATCGGAATTTACTTTCCTGAGCAGATGAGGAGCTTCTATGTAATGTCTAGTGTAGAATACAAAGTAAGCAGAGCTTTAAAAATTTGGGCATTCTGGCTGTGACGTTTTGGGAGTTGTAACTGGAACGTAGTTTTCCAGACTCTGGGAAGTATACTGATACTGTAATTCTTCCTAAAATGGTGATATTTCTAGTGCAGCCACCTTTGTTACCTTTTAATTAATTGCAGATGCCAAGTAATTATGGTATGTTTTGTGGAAGATGGTTTATGATCCTGTAAGCATGTCCACTAATTTATTCAGGTTCCATGATCAGTCATCACCATGGCATTGGGCTGTCTTGGATGCAGAAATGAGTACACCAAAATACTGTTAACTTGTGGTTCTTCATGGTCTCTGTGAATCATCCATGTGGGTTCTGTGTCAGCAAAGAGCAGCATTTGTAATCTAGACCTTTACAGCTTTTAACAATCGCTCCTCGCCCTCCCATCTGAGCCTGCTCAGTCACTCCCTAACACTTTCCCTCAGTTTCTTTTTGTCCTGTTGCACGAGAAGCAGCTAAAATAAGTGCCCTTATAGCTTACTTTAAAATCTTACCTTACACACAAGGGTGGGTGGCAATATACTGTATCTCCTGAACAGTATTTTGCCGAGCCTATTGCCATCTTCTTTGCATAAGCTGCGGAATTGTTTTCCATTTTTATACAAGGCTTAGATCATAGTCTTCTTTCAGTAATAGGTTCAGTTCTGGGGGTGGAAAGACTATTAACCACCAATGTGGCTTTCAGTAGGATTAGTGACCAAAGTCCCATTATGCAACTGCACACATGCAACCTGACGTTGTGTGTGTAGTAATTATGCTAGAATTGAAGGCAGAAGTGCTATCCCTGAAGCACTTCTGCCAGTGTATATGCAGTCAGTCATGCTGAGTGAGGATGCAACAGATTGCACAGTTCCATAGCACAGTTCCTTGACACTGGGTATAGTTCCTGGCACATATATGCTGACCTAACTTTATATTATTTTACTTGAGCATGTTGGGGGGGGCATGAACAGGATGCTGGGCAATATTTCTATGGTGTGCTTACTGGCATTTACATCTGTCTTTGTCAGCTGTTCTATCAGTGACCCTGCATTCATTATGAAATAACAGGTGAGCCAGGACCATCAGTTCAACAACTAGACAAAGGACAGATTTTTGCTCATTGTATGACACAGCTGACTCCTAAAGTGATTTATAGGAAGAATGCCTGTGTAGACACCCAGTTTTATTTTTAATCTCTTCATCTGATGGCAGCTTAAAATGAAACAGCATCTACTTAGCATGTGTGCTGTTTTCACCCAAATAGTGGCTAGCATCCTGTTCTTGGTAGAGTGTAGTGCCTTAGTGGACAGATACTGTAAAACACTCTAAATGCTGCTGATCTCTAGCTTGAAGTTATGCAAGTCAGAAGTCACCCAATTGCTTTAAAAATGCAAGCGGTTGTTGGACCATCACTCCTCACACCTCTGTGTAAACAAGGAAGGAGGAACTGCATGCAAAACTATTCTACAAACCATTTACAATCAACAGGATAATAGCAACTGTTTCAGCAACTCATGTGCAAAACTGCTGTTTCAGAAGCAGAGATGATTAGAAAACTCTTTGGGACTTGCATGAAGACAGGTGGGAGGAAACTCAAAAAAATTGGGAAGATAAAGATGTGTGCAAGCAGTGCAACTGTGTAGTTTGCATTGGTTATAAGCACTGGTGATAATTTCTGTCTTGTTCAGAAGCACTTTATGTTTTTTTCTGTGCTTATGCTGGACTGCCTGATCCTGCATTTCACATTTGGTTGCCTGTAAATGCAGAAGCACAATGGGGTGCCTGATTTTTTGTTTGAACAGCTAAAGTGCAGTTGTGCACTTTGTGTTTAAGGAAACTTAACAGATTTGGAAAACATTGGATGAAGTTTCCTTAGTCATCACTGAAACACTTCTTGAGGAGATAACTGTAGTTTAAAATGAAGCATCTTTCTTTTTCAGTGGTTATAGTGGAAGAACAGGGAGAGGTGTATCTTGTATACTGAGAACACTTTATGGGAATGTTAGGTCAGGGTTTTAAAAGGAATAGTTGAAGGACATTTCTTTACTTTGGCAGGTCCACTAAGTAAGGAGTCTGTTGAAGCCTAATGTCAAACTGGAAGATTTTGTATAAAGAAGAGCTCAGTATGTTCCAGGCTTCCATTCAAAAAGGGTGTGAAACTCTTGGTACTGTTTCAAATAATCATGCTCTGAAAAGAAGGAACACAGTTCTGAAGCATGTTACTTTAAGGATATTAATTGACCTGTAAGATTGCTATAAAATCTTCTAATTAGAATTCCTGGTTCTGTATTTATCCTGTCTGCAAACATTAGCGCCATTATGTCTAGTAGCCAAATTATGGCTGATATTTATGATTGATTCTTAAGTTCTTGTGTTCCAGTTATCTCACCAACATCTAGTTTAATTGAAACTTGAAAACTATTCTGTGTTGTGAAAATCATAGTATATCTGCAAATAAAGGATCAGAAATTACAATGGATAGAGCACAATTTCTTCCTCGTGGATGTTAGCAATGGTTGTTTTCTATGTTCCAGGCAAATACACTTGGTTTGGACAAAAACAGCAACAGTTTTTGTAGCCCTTCCAAGGACTAACAAATTGAGGACGGTGTTAGCTTTCATGAACCAGCATCCATTTCATCAGATACAACAGCTATTTATCCTAAGTTGATTATTATGAATATATGTGATCCTATGTGTGGGCGGAGAACTGTGTGATAGTGAAATGCAAGAAGTACACTGATAATTACACTGAAACTTAGGTGTGTGTAAACTTTTTAGTGGCCATTGGCAAACAATGCTGGTAGAAACATTAACATTGTACTATCCAAAAGAGGGGAGTCTTGAGCTGTTTTAAAAATCAGCAACTTATTTAGCATAATGTTTTGTGGGTGTTGCTAATGGGAGTAGTTGATAAATGGTATATCACATTGGCATAAATCAGAAAGACCTGTGGGGTCCCTCAGGATTCTGTTTTGTCTCCTGTGTTATTTAACTTTTACATGAAACTTCTGGGAGAAATTATCCAGAATTTTGAGATTCAGTGTCACCACTATGAGGATGACACCGAACTCTACCTCTCCTTGCCACCTAAATCCAAGGAAGCTGTTTCAGTTCCTTATCGGTGTTTAGTATCAATAGTAGACTGAATGAGGGTGAATATACTGAAAATTAATCCAGACAACGGTGTTTAGTATCAATAGTAGACTGAATGAAAATTAATCCAGACAACACAGATGCTTCTGGTCAGTCGAAAGGCAGATCAAAGAATAGAGATGCAGCCTGTACTGAATGGGGTTATACTACTGAAAAAAACAGGTGCACAGCTTGGGGGTGCTCCTGGATTCCTCCCTGAGCCTGGATGCCAAAGTCTCAGCGGTGGCCCAGAGTGCATTTGCACAATTAAAACTACTATCTGTTTCTGGAAATATCTGATTTGGCCACTGTCATACACGCCCTAATTATTTTCTGGCTGAATTACTGTAACACACTCTATGTGGGGCTGCTGATGGAAAGTGTCATGAAACCAACAGGTCCAAAATGCAGCAGCCAGATTGTTGACTGGGGCTGCTTACAGGGATCACATAGCCCCCCTATTATAGCAGCTCTTCTAGCTGCTGATCAGTTTTCAGACACAGTTCAAAGTGCTGATTTTAACCTTAAAAGCTCTAAATGACCTTGGTCCAACCTATCTCAAACCTCTTATCTCCCATTATGAGCCGGCTTGTGTGTTAAGATAATCAAGACAGGCCTTTCTCTAGGTCCCACCACCTTTACAGGTGATGCCGATGGGGACACAGGGCCTTCTCTGTTTCTTCTCCCGGGCTCTGGAACTCCCTCTCACAGGAAACCAGATGGGACCCATCTATAGTGTCCTTTCTCAAGAAGCAAAGAGCTTTCTCTTCAGGCATGCCTTCCCTCATAGCTACCTATGAGTGATATCTAGACAGATTGTTACGCCTTACTGCTTTGAGTGGGTACTACTTTTGTTTTCCTCCTCATAGCTACCTATGAGTGATATCTAGATAGATTGTTACGCCTTACTGCTTCGAGTGGGTACTACTTTTGTTTTCCATTTTTGTGTTTTTCATTTCTCATAGTGCCATTTGTGTATGTGTTTTCTTTTTTATTATTTGTATACTTATTATTTGTATACTTAGTTTTAATATTGCCTTTTAATTATATAAGCTGTCTCTTTATACTCATTGTTTTTATCTTAAAAATTTGTTCTTCAATTCTGTAAGCTGCCTTGGGTCCTTTTCAAGGAGAAAGGTGGGGTAAAATATGTAAAATATATAAAAATAAATAAATTATAAACTGAGTTATTATTATATCATAGTATATTATTAAAGTGACCTAGATATTTTTTAAAAATTGCTTAATGTTTTTGTAATCGTTTGACAGAAATGAAATATTTCACTTTGAATTATCCCAGATACATAGAAGCTTAACCACCCATTTTTCTGTCTGCCCAAACAGATTATCTGGAAGGATTTTGCTTCTTATGAAAAATGTCTAGAACATCAAGAGCAGCTATGCATTAGAGAAAAGAAACCTCCTGCTATATAAAATAAATTACAGTTTGAAGGATGAATAGTGAAGAGGAATTTTATGATGCCGTAACAGGTGAGTAGGCATGGTGTACCTTATGTTGATTTCCTAAGCTGTTTTTCACAGGGCTGCTTCAAACATTATTAATTTTTATCAAGGAGTCACATAACACATTGAATCAAGCATATGGTGATGGTGCAACTTGCCTGTCTAAGTGTAGATATGTTTACCAAGACTTTTAGTATGTTACTAAATAAAAGAGACTGGATATTGTACTTTTGATACCCAGTGTGTTGTAATGGATAGAGTAATAGATGAGGATTCAGGAGGCTTGAGTTCAAATCCCCTCTTGGCGATAGACAATGACAGACATGGTGTGTGGAACGAGTTAAAATCACACCTTAAATATTCTGCTTACCTTGAAAGCCCTGTTAGGGTCACTGTAAGTCAGTTCTGATTTGATGGCATATAAAAACATAATTATACACTATTCCTTTAATAAAGAAGAATGAGAGAGAGGTATTACTATGCTTAGGAAAAAAAAGTTTATATTGCGTATGTGTTTACTTCTAGAAAAATAGAAGTTGTTAAGTATTGGAAGGGTTTTGGTGCTGTTAGGATGATATAATCTCTGATAGTCACAAATAGTTTCAACCTGTGCTATACACTTTTGAAATATGAATTTTACACCCTGTGACAGTGCTAGGTAATGCCTGCCCTAAGTGGTAGTGTTTGAGTCTGTCTTGCCTCACTACTGCTGCATTTCTTTCCTCCAAACCACGGTGATCATTCCTCTGTAAGAATATGTCTGTAAATAATAGTATAATTTTTTTAGGTGTCTTGTATTTGTATCTGTTCAGGACTATTCAGGGTATTTCTGAAAATACCCAGTATGGTACAATGGTTTTTTTTAATGCACTAGGGCTCAGGAGCACTGACTTCAAATCCCCACTGTGCCATAGAAACGCATGGGAATTAATGCAGAACTAGCAAAACCTATCTTTAAATATTTGCTTTGAAAGACATATTGGGGTTCAAATCCCCACTGTGCCATAGAAACTCATGGGGATTAATGCAGAACTAGCAAAACCAATCTTTAAACATTTGCTTTGAAAGACATATTGGGATCACTGTAATTCTATTCTGACTTAATGGCACACAACAAAGTATTGTTATTATACTTAAAGAAAGTATAATTACTCGATAAACAGAGGGAGTGCTGTAGACATAGTATATCTTGACTTCAGCAAACCTTTTGACAAAGTTCCCCATGATATTCTTATTAGCAAGTTAACTAGGTATGGGTTGGATAGAGCAACTGTCGGGTAGATACACAGTTGGCTACAGACTCATACTCACAGGGTGATGATTAATGGCTCCTTCTCAATCCGAGAGGAGGTAGCAAGTGGAGTATCCAAGGGCTCAGTCCTGGGCTCAGTGCTGTTCACTATTTTTATTAATGACCTGGATCAGGGGATACAGGAAATGCTAATCAAATTTTCGGATGACAGAAAATTGGGTGGAATAGCTAACACCCTGGAAAACAGAAACAAAATGCAAAATGATCTACCTAAGATTGAGCCCTGGGTGAAAAACAACAGAAAGGAATTCAACAGGGATAAGTGCAAAGTACTACACCTAGGAAAAAGAAACCAAAGACACAGTTACAAGATGGGGGATACCTGGCTCAACAATACTATGAGCATGAAGGATCTTGGAGTCATCATAGATCACAAGTTGAAAATGTGCCAACAAGATGGTGATTACAAAAAAAGGCAAATGCTATTTTATGCTGCATTAACAACAGTATAGCCTCCAACTTCCTTGACACACTAGTCCCCCTCTATTCAGCATTGGTTAGGCCTCACCTTGAGTATTGTGTCCAGTTCTGAGGAGAGCAGTAAGGATGATCAGGGGACTGGAAACCAAGACTTATGAGAAAAGACTGAAAGAACTGTTCACGTTTAGCCTTGAGAAAAGAAAACTGAGGGGAGATGTAACACTTTAAAACAGGGGTTTTAAACTCAATTTACTTGGGGGCCGCTAGAGGCTGAGTCTGGCTGAGGCTGGGCCACATCAGATTTCCTGCCAAGCGGAGCAAGAGCCCGAGGACGCCGCCCAGGAGTTTCCTTAGCCGACAGACAGGTGGGCCGTCTGGCAGGCTGCAGTTCTGGATGGAGGGTGCAAGAGGTGCTGTCTTGGGAGAGAGCCGGCGAGCGAGGCAAGGCTTTTTTTAAAAAACTCTTGGCAGCAGAGGACGTGTGGGCCCTTCGGGGGGCAGGCAAGGCGAGGGCCACAAACTATCATCTGAGGGGCCGCAAATGGCCCCCAGGCCGCATGTTTGAGACCCCTGCTTTAAAATACTTGAAAGGCTGTTGTACAGAAGATGGGCAGGATCTGTTCTTGATCATCCCAGAGTGCAGGGCACGCAACAGTGGGCTCAAGTTAAAGGAAACCAAATTTTGGTTGAATATCAGGAAAAACGACCTGGTTGTAGAGCAGTACAGCAGTACAACCAATTACCTTGGCAGGTATCCTTTGATTTGGATTCCTTCAGTGAGTAGGGGTTGGACATCATGGCCTTATAGGCCCTTCTAACTTCATGATTCTATGAAATTCATACTATCTGTAGACTTAAAAAACAAACAAAAACAACAAAATAAAAATCCAGTTAATAAAAAAGTGTAATGTTTAATAACCCCAGAAATCAGAATGTTGGCAGTCAGTCTGGAAAACTGGTCCTTCTCATATAGATGATGCCTAAGTATGTTTTAATGTCTGATGTTTAGCTGAAAGATTTTAACCATTGTGGAACAGCCCTTACCTGCCCCATTACACAAGGATTTCTTTCTGCCAGTGATAATCAGTTCTATACTTGAGCCATAGGGGCACTGCAACTTACTGGTGCTGGTTACTTCAACCTTTTTTTTTTAACCCTTACAACACTCCTTCAGAGTTTCTCACTTTAAAGAGGCAATAGCGATTAATTTGAGAAACAGAAAAAACTCCACCACATCTTTTTTTGAAATTCATTTTTCATTGGGTAAGGAAAGATCATCCCCTTAACAGATTGCTGCCTTGTTGTTGCGGAGGGGCTTGAGTAATTCAGAGAAGCTACGGCTGTGTCGTGCAGGGACACCCAAGACAGAAAGTAATAGTGGAGAGTTCTGACTCAACGCGATCCACCTGGAGCAGGAACTGGCAAGCCACTCCAGGATCTTTGCCAAGAAAACTCCATGGACAGAAACAAAAGGCTAAAAGATATGACACTGGAAGATGGGCCCCTCAGGTCAGAAGGCGTCCAGCATGTTACTGAGGAAGACCGGAAGACAAGTACAAGTAGCTCCAGAGCTAATGAAGTGGTTGAGCCAAAGCTGAAAGGACGCTCAGCAGCGGATATGCCTGGAAATGAAATGAAAGTCTGATGCTGCAAAAAAAAAAAAATACTGCATAGGAATCTGGAATGTAAGATCTATGACCAGCTACAAAGACCAGCTAACGACGCCCATCAATCACAGTGACAGATAATCTCTCCTCCT